GACAGTGTGATTTAGGAGGAGCTGGTGAACAGCACTTTTCCAGAAGGCCTTGCTTCCTCAGGAAACGGCTCGGCTTCAAGCCTGATCTCCAAAACAGGCGTAGGAGGAAAACACCTCTGCTCCTCTGCAAAAACATGGGCCGCCCCTCTCAGAGCCCCTGGCGTCATTCCAGCCACAACAGCCACAGCCTCCCCAGGCAGTGGACGGCAATGGAAGGCCCACGTCTAGTCCTGCTTCTGCTGCTGACTCAGGGTGTCCACCTCTATAAAATGAGCCATTTGGGTGTGACCACTTCAGATCTATCTAGAATGATGCAGGAGTCTCAAATTCCCCAGGAAGCCCTGGGCAAGGGTGAAGGGGTTTGCCCCCAGGGACAGTGGCCTGGTGTGAGCCCCCTCATAGGTCATAGTCATTATTACAGAGCTTGTGTGGGAGGTGGCTTGAGGCTGAGATGCCCAGCATTGGGGCAAAATGGGCACTCAAGGGAAGGAATGCCCTATGCAGTCTGGAGACAGACAACGACCTCCCCTCTCCCTTCCACTCCCCATGTCCCCCAGGCCTCAGCTGGAGGTGGACACAGGGCCGCAGCCCCACCCAGGCGGGTGGGGCAACAGACATACTGCTCATCACAGCTGGCTGGACAGGGGAGACTGTTTATTCTCTGATGTCAGAACATCGCAGACAATCGGGGAATTTGGCTGCTGGCAGCTCCTGGATGTGAGGTCTCGAAGAAGTCAACCTAATCAGAGCAGGCCGATGCCCGCACTCTGAGCCAGCAGCAGGGGTGCCAGGGAGGGGCTGACCCTCCCTGCCCCACATTAGGTGCCACATGTGCCTCTGAGCTCACCTGCTAGGTCAGCGGTGATGGGGCTGCAAAGGTCACTGGAGCTGAGCCCAGAGCTCTTGTGCACAGTGTGGGCAACAGGTCCCACTCCCAGGTGCCCTGAGGACATGGCCGAACCAACAGTCTTAGCCTGGGAGGGGAGCTCATTCTGCATCCCCTGGTATGGAGAGTTTGACTCCAATGGCCCCAGCCTTCCTTTTCTCTTCCCGCCCTTTCACAAGGGGAAAGCTCTTCTCACCCTCAAATCTCTAGTGGTCTCTCTCTCTCTCACCACACCACCCCCCCCCCATTCATTACAAAAACATGTTCTTAGCAAAGGCCGCCATCAGCCTTTTACACATGTGGTTGAATAAGCCACAAATCAATATTTTAAACCTCTCTCAGGCCATTTGTATTTTAAGTCTGAGCCTTTTTAGTGACACAAAGGCTCTGTCCTGCCTACCTGCCACTATTCCCAAAGGTAATTCTGGTGACAGAAAGCAAATGGAACTCCCTGAAATCAAACAACAGATGTTGACAACCTTCTCTGAAACCTTCACTCACCCACACTGCCTTGCCAGCGCACTTTCTCTCAAATCCAACTTCAGTCCCCTTTGCTGATGTTTAATCATTCCCTTCTACTATGGCAGGAGTCTGGGCATCCTTTCATCCACTTATTCACTCAACAAACTCTCCTCAAGTGTCCACCATAGCTTCTATACTCAGATACACAAAGACAACCTGGACACTGCCCTTCAGCAGCTTGCAGTTGAATTTTAATGCAGGAAATGTCCCTAAGCAAAGCCCAGCCCACTAGCTGGTATACAGTAGGAATTCAATAAATGCTGCTTCCCCTTCTCAGGGCTGCACCATATGGACACTGCAGTGAGACACTGGAAATTTTCTGAAAACCCTTCCCAGGTGGACGAGAGCGCCCGCAGGACAAGTGGTTTCTCTCTGGGTCCAGAGCACCGTGACTTGCCTGGGATGTTCCTGACATCAGGTTGCAGAGGCATGCAAAGGAGAGGGGCTTACTCTAACCAGATCAGGGCTAGGGCAGCCCGGGACACTGTCTCCATGGTGCAGAGCCCCAGACAGTTCGGAAACAAACAGAAACCTATCCAGAGGGAAGAGACTGACAAAAGCAAAAACAAACAAAGACCAAGAGATGGAAAACTCAGGAGGTGGGGCAGGGTGGAGACCAGGGAAGAGGGGAGACTTGGGGAGAGGGGAGGTGGGTGTGGGCTTTGGAGGGGACTTAGGGAGGGGCCTGATCGTAGGATTTTGTGTGTGTAAGGAAGGAATCCAGTCCTACACCCCCCACCCAGGAATCACCATGGCAACAGGGAGGGTGAGTGCCGCTCATTCCAAGCCAACACAAACCTCCTGGGTTTAGCAGCAGGAATGGACTCAGATGCGTGGGGCCATGTTCTAAAGAAAAATATCTGAACTGGGCTCTTTACATCACAAACTCCCCATCCACTCCTGGTTTGGCAGGTGGTCACTGTTAATGAAACAACAGTGAACCACACCCCTACTGCACTTCTCTCTCACACACACGGAAGCCCGCAGAATAAAACCCCTTCCCTTCGTGGCGGAAACTGACAGGTCACAGGATTCTCAGCACCCCCTAGAAGCAGGTACCTCATGGGTAGGAGACTCACTTGCCCCCCTTCCCAAAGCTGTCCTCCCTGACAGCGGCTTTAGTGACAGAGGGCTGATGGGATTGCTTTCACAAGACCAAGGCAACTGGAGCTCCAATGTGAGGAGGTTCCCACCGAACCACCATCCGGCCTCCTCTGCCATCAGCTGCCTGGTGAAGCTCTTGGCCCAAGGGGTTTGTCAGCACAGATGCCGCTCCTTCCTCCTCCAGGGAAAAGTGTCTGCAGATGAGCCTGGCGAACCACTCCAACACCCAAGTGTGCCTGGAGCTGCCTGGCCTCTGGCCCTAGATGTAGGGTCGGTGCTACAGAGAACTGAGTCTTTAGTGTCCCTCCTACCTCTCTGCTCCCAGGGATGCAGAGACCTCATCCTCTCCCCCACTACCCTAAGTCCAGGCTGACTCACCCATTAGGCATTACAGGCACAACACCTAAGACCCACATGGTGAAAAGAAGTCTTCACTTCTTTTATAATCAGAAGGAAAAAATGAGCTTGCAGGTGGAAGAAAACATTTTAGTATACAATAATATATTCACCTCTGCACCAATATAGTCATAAAATATACTTTTAAGTATTTTTTTTTATTGAGGAAGGGGCCCACGAAGGCAAAAGCTCCCAGTGCCCAAGGAAGGCATCACGGGGCCCGCTCCAGTCTCCCCTCCTGCCAGCACCGGTCCTCCGACGCCAGGTACACCCTTCCCCACGTCAGAGGCGTCCGTCCACAGGCCCCCACTAGCCTGGGAGCTCCCGGAGGGCAGGCCACCCTTCATTCACCCCCACATCCCCCACGGACTCAGTGCCTGTTTCGCTGTCATGTCAGATATCGCACTGCCTCTTCTCTCTGGTGGGGGGTGGGGCTCAGGAAAAAAGGGCTAGGCTGTAAATAAACATTGCCTAAGAACCAGCCACGCACAACAGTTCACATGCATGCAGTCGGACTTTGTCCATGTCCCCGACCCTGTACTCCCCCCGCCAAGTTCACCGGTGATCTCCAACTCGGTAAATCCAATAGACACCTCTCGGCTATGACCTTGACTATGCAGCAGCATTTGACACTGCTCGTCAAGCCCCCCTTATTGGCTTCTATGACACTGTTGTCTTGGTTTCCTCCTACTCCCCTGGATATTCCTGCCATCTCCTTCGCATGCTCATCTCCTCTGTTGGGCCACGAAGAACAGCCGGTCAGAGAAAGACAAACACCATGCGATCTCACTGATATGTGGAAACTAATGAACAAAACAAGCTGACGAACAAAATCAAGCCAGAGGCATGGACACACGGAATGGACTGACATACCTCGAAGGGGAGGGGTGGGGGGACTGGAAGAGATTAGCCAACACGCACAGAGAACACGCACGCGTGCATGCAGAGCCTGCAGTGCAGACAGCAGTGTGTGAAGGTGGGGAGGGGGCAGCAGGGTGAAAGGGGTAAGGGGGGAAATCAGGGATACCTGTAATATTACTATCAAGAATTTAAAAACATAAATTTCTAAAAAGATACAGGACAAAGAAACAAATAGTGACGACGATGACGATGACAATGACCACGCTGAAACACAGCAGGTATCTACTCTGTGCCCCACACTACTGTAAATACCAGCTCTTCCGATCCTCGCAACAACCCTGAATCCACTCTTCAACCACCAGCCAGTGCCTTTTCTCGAGACCAAGTCTGACCTCCCACTTAAAAGCTCTGCTTGAACCCTTCTAACGGCTTCCGCAGCCCAAGCGTGCCAGGCCCTTCCGGAGCTGGCCCCTGCCCCCTCTCCAGCCCTGTTTCTCACCAAACCTCTTCCCTCGCCCCTCCCGCTCTGGGCTTCTCCATCAAGAACTTGAGGGCTTTGCATGTGCAGTTCCCACTGCCTGAAATACTCTTCCTCCCGCTCTCAGCCAACCCCTGATGGCTCTTTCAGGTTTCAGTGGAACATCACCTGGTCTGGGAGCCGGGGCTGGGGCTCGGGGGTGTATCACGTGGTGGTTACAAGACCAATACTGAACCTGGTCTGCCCGGTGCAACCCCCGGCTCTACCACTTCCCAGCCAAGTAACCTCGGGAGAGCTGTTGAAACTCTCTGTACCTTCGGTTTTTCACCTGTCATGAGGATTAAAGCAAACAGACACAAGGCACAATGCAGGGCTGCGTGTGTCACTTCCATACTCCCAAGCTATGTTAAGACATTTTGCAATTTTCCAGAACTCCACTGCAATAACACCACATGAGGTCGACCCGACTGCTGAGTACGCCCATCTGCCCGCCGAGCCTGACCGCCAGCTCAGCAAAGCCAGGGACTTTCTGGTCTCGGTCCTGCCCTATTTCCAGTGCCTGGCACACAGCAGGTGCTCGTATTTGGTATATCGACAACTAGAATCCCACATCTACCAGATATCCTGATGATACATGCTTTCAAGTAAACAGCCACCTCAAGCAAGGAAGGAAAAAGAGGGGAAGATTTTTAGCAAAAGCGCATACATGGCAGACCCAGGCTGGAACTAAACACAGTCACAAAGGCGACCTGGTAATTAGGAAAATACTTTTATTATTTCTGAAATGTTCCAGTATTCAATGTAAAAACCATGATAGTGGCTTTTTCACAACTTCACAAATTATGGAAAAATGACTTTGCCCCTTCTTTATAGAACTCTCCCCCCACCCACCACCACCATCCCCAAATGAGACGGGGCTCCATCATGACTGAAACAGGGCAGGGGGGAGGATACAGCAAGGAGACCCGAGGCTCTTCCTGCACGTGCTCAGCCCAGGCTGAGTCCTGGAGACCCGTGACCCCTCCGGGGGAGGCTCAGTCCCCACGCACCGGTGACACACCAAGGCAGGCCTCTGTCTCGAAGGCCGGCAGCGACGGAGGCCCGCGGCTGGCCCTGGTGGCCGGCTGGCAGGCCATAGCGGAGGCAGCGCTGTGAGAGCGAGAGCAGGAGGCAGGCCTGCAGCTGTAACCAGCGGTCGGTGGTTTTTTTAAAAAGACGACTTGAGTTGCTCACTGTTAGGTTTGTATCTTTCATCAGACCTGACTCCTTCCTTCCTTGTCCACGGTGGGGCCACGGTCGGGCACAGCTGTAGCAGAATGCTGTTTGTTGATTTGAAAAAAACTGAAAATGTTTTGTACTCACAAAGGCAGATGGAATTCAAAAACTGTCCCACCAATTTTTATGAGAAACATGACTTTCCTCCTGAGTGTCTCAAGTCAAAACAAGGCAACCGCCTCGTGATTTATCGCCCCCACTACACATTTTCCGCCGTCCAGAAGGCATTAGAGAGAGGGCCAGAGTCCGCCAGGAGCGATTGTAAACATACCGCTGACGGCTTGGACACTTTGTTTTTAAATGCAGCAGGACTTTTTCCTTTGGCCCTGATCGAAAAGCCAACTCCCTAGGACTGTTTAGGCAGGAGTAGACAGGAGGGCTCCCCGAAACCTATGCGTTAGGGACCAGCAGTCCCTGTTGGCCGGAGTGTGGCTGGGAGCATCATCAAAGGCAATCGAAACATTTATGGCATATGAAAAGTGTCCTGTGGTCCCCAACTGGCCCCCAGGCTCACCCTGACCAGAGGCGGGACACAGGAGGTACAGCACGAGTTGTCATAAGGCACGTGGCTGAGGGGGTCCCCACACCAGGCCCCAAAAGATTATCTTTTTGCACGATTCCAGAAGTGCTGGAAGGCTGAGGAGTTGATCACACCCACTACGAGCAGCAGCAGCAGATACAGGGATATCAAGACCGTAAACCAATGGCTGGAAAACCAGGACAGCTGGCTCGAAGCCCTGCTTAAGGGGGGAAAAAAGAGTGATGTTGGCAAAATGTGGAAAACATTTTTTAAAAGTGTATGCAACAACTTCTGGCTCCAAGATGAAATGATGAATTTCACCCTCTGAGTGAGCCATGAAATGAAGCTTCGTGCGTTCTCCTTTGCTCAAGAAATCCGAGGCTGTTTGCCCTGGCACGGACACGCCTTTCCCCAGAACATGTTCTAAATGTACAAAGACAGCTATGCGGTGAGCTCATCCCGAGCTTCTCTTTCAGAGCTGCTCCTCTTGGGCCTTCTCTAGCCCGTCTTTTCTTAAGCAGGACTTTGGCACCTAGGAGAACGCCCTTGCTCAAGGTGACTGCCCAGACGGCAGCAGGGGGCAGGTCACTTAGCAAAATCTTTTCACTTTTAGACATGTACAGATACCAGCCCACACTGGGGAGATCCTCTTTGGCCCACTGGGAGACAGTCTCTAAACCGTCCAAGCAGGACATTCCAGGGAGAAGTGGGAAGGAATGAAAATTTCAAGTACAACAAACCAGATGATTTTAAACCAAAGGATAATGTCCCCCAGATTCAGGAGCCCTGCACAAATTTCCCAAATTTGAGGGGAGGGCAGGTTTTTCCTGGTTTATGAAATCCTGAAGCATGGAAACCACTGGTGTGTACAAGCAGGAGTGGGAAGTATTCAAAGTGACCCCCTTCCCTGTCTTACCTGCTTGCTGGCTGCTCCTCCCCAGGAGAAGCCAGACTCCAACAACAAGAGATCTCAAAGTGACCCCGACCCTGGAGGACCCTGTGCACAATCTGCCTGCCACCCGCTGAGAGGTGATGGGGCACCCACCAGGGCTCTTAGAAGCCGCAAGACCCCATCTGCCGTTGGGTTCACTACATTCACTTTAAAGATGAAGATGAGACATCTCAGATCCAGAGAGGGGAAGAGGGTGATTCAGCAGCCACTATGGAAAGTTAGCAAGCTGGGCGGCACACAGGCCCAGCCAGGGTCCAGTCACACCCTGCTCCTCAGCTTGATCTGATCAGTGGGTTTGAGACTGAGATCAGGAGCCCCGGTGGCTGAGGGGCCTCGCAGTCTGGGGCAGCCAATCTGGCTTCACTCAGTCCCTCCTGCGATTTGTGTTAAATCTCCTTCTGTCTTCTTCATTAGAGTATACAGTCCCCCCGAGGGCCAGGACCACACCTTATCCTAGCTTACCCTCACCCCTCACCACATCTAGCACAGCAATTTACATACTTTATGCATAGCTGAGGCCTTCGGCTGGGGGAAAGAGGGTGCTGAGAACAAAGAAGCCAACGCTTTCTTTTTTTTTTTATTTAAATGTTTTTTCTTATTTTTTTAAATTTTTTTAAGATTTATTTATTTATTTATTTTTAGGGAGGGAAGAGAGGGAGGGAGGGAGGGAGAGAGAGAGAGAGAGAGAGAGAGAGAGAGAGAGAAACATCAATGTGCGGTTGCTGGGGGTTATGGCCTGCAACCCAGGAATGTACTCTTTCAATGCAGCCCTTAGTTGTCCTCCTGGGCCTCAGCGGGCCTGTCCGTCTTACCTCTTGGCCTGCTTTTGTGAGTACACCAGCAGGTACTTCACTCGCAGGAGCTGGTTGTTGGTGACCACAAAGTACTTTGGAGGGATGTCTCCCCCTTCGCTGTGCTTGATCCTCGCTCTCTTGCGATCTATCTCCTTGGAATCTGAACAAGAAGGGTAAATAAAGCACAACTTTACTGGCGGGTGGGGAGAGGAATACATTAATAAAAGAAGCAAATTATGACTATAAATGGGTCAGGGGTCCTAGCAGGCTGGGGAATGGGCCTGTGTGTGTATGTGAAGCACAGTACAAAACAGGAGAATCAACAGAGACAAACAGGAGAAGGAGAAAAAAGAAATACGAAAATAAAAGAGGCACGAGGGGGAAAACAAACCTGAACCGGGGAAAGCAGAGGAAAGCAGCAGATCGATACCCAAAACAAAAGGCAACAGTCTGGGAGGGAGCAGGACTGGGCCTGCGCGTGCCTCCAGCAGGCGCTGTAAACAGACCGTGCTGGACTCAAACTCCGTAGAACCCACCGCCTACTCTCCACACCAAGGCTTGTTTAAACAAACAAACAGAAACAAAGCTTTCCTTTGAATAACATGAAATGCGTTAGCAATTTTAAAAAAGGCCCAAGTCGTGTGACAGCAGACATTGCAAGGTTTTGTTTTGATGTTTAATGTCACGATTTGCAAACTTCCTAAGAATTATAAATGCAAATATTCACATTGCATGGTTTAGGAGGGTGGCATTAGGCCTGGGCCTGTTCCTCAGAGTTCCAGTTGTTTTACATTAGGGGCCTGGAATGGACAGTTTTCTCAATTTTCCTTTCCTTGGTGGAACCAACAGACCACTTCAGGAGACTAGCATGACAGTTCTGTGACTCTTCAACCTTTGCAGGCAAAACAGCAGGGGGTACTGGACAAATAATCTAAGGGACATGTTGGGGACACAAGGTGGCCAGCTGGTCACCTGATCCTGGAGGCCTGGGTTTCTCTGCCCACGGCCCCAGCGGCTGCTTCCCCCTCCAGGAACCCCGCACACACCAGAGCAGCCCGCAGGGACAGGTCTAAACACATATTTAGCTTCAGTTTGGCAAATATTTATTGAACGTCAAGTACATACCGGCTCCCCACTGATACCAGGTGCCCAAGACGGAATGAGACCCACTTCCTGCCCTCAAGGAGCCCACACTCTGGCCGCACACACTCCCTTCAGCGGTCACACTCACTTCCTCCCCAGAGCCTGCTCCAAGCATCGGGACCCACCAGGATGGCTCCTTCCTCTGCGCTGCCCCACGGACCCCATCGGCCCCCTCACCTGGCCCACTCTACCCACCACCTTGTAGTACGTGATGCCTTTTCCACTGTGTGTTCAGTCCACGAGGAGACTGCTCACCGTTTGAAGGCAGACCCCTGTCCTGCATTGCTCTGGACTCAGCCCATCCCTTGGCGTGCAATGGGCACTCCACCGACAGCTAAGCCCACAGCGAGAGCCTGCCCACCCTGAGGCCTGTAGCCCATGTCTGGGCCAAGTGCTCACTCACCTTTCTTCTTGGTTTGGCACTTGACATCTGGATGGTCAATGACCTCACACACAGCCACGCAGCTGAGGATGGGGCCGAGGAGGCTACGCTGCCACCCGTGGCCATGGGGGCTGTAAATGAGGGCCAGGCTCAAGTCGCTGGTGAGGTAGGTCCCTTCCCCGAACAAGGATGTCTAGGTCAGCAGAGCCATCAGTAAAGAAACAAGACTGGGTAAATATCGACAGGCACAGCAAGATGACACAGGTCTTTCTTTAACAGAGTCACAAACACAAAATTTCCAAGCCTCTTTTTCTCCCTGCAAAAGTTATAAGATCAAATAATCCTATGACATCATCACGGGGTTATTACTAAACATATTCCTACCTGATGACAGTTTAACTGACTGCAGATATACCCAACTAGCCTGGTGAACTTGGTGTTCCTGAGGTCAAGGTTGAGTGAAAAAAACATGAGTCCAAACAGACCTGAGCTTGAATCCTGCCTATACCTCCAACAAGCTGGCAAGTTATACCGACTCTCTGGGTCTCAGTTTCTACATTTATGAAACCATGATAATGGTGTCTCCTTCACAAGGTCGTGGACGAGGACTCAGTGAGACAGTGTAAAAAGCACCAGTCAGGACACCTGGCACACGAGAGGCGCGGGCACTGGTCACAGGACCTGTGTCGTGGGTCACAGAGTCACTCCTGCCACACAGATGCGTCAGCACACAACGCTAGCGGGCTCGCAGGAACAAAGCCACAGCCTTGTATACTGAGTCGGGGGCCACACCTGCAGGGGGAGGTAACCTGAGCCATTACTTAGAGAAGAAATGACTCTCTCAGACCAGAAACTGCGACTGAACAAGGAAGGCCTACAGAAGGGGCAGGGCAAGGTGAACTCTCTGTATTGGTGTTAACCTAGAAAATGTCCAAAAGTCCAGAAGGCAGCTCCTGGGTGGTGCGTGCTAACTCGGGGCCCTCAGTGAGGCAGCACACCAGGTGAGGGAGGAGGTTATCAGGTTAAACACCTTGAGCTGGGCCTGCAGAGGGCATAGCAAACGCATCCTTTGCCCATGGCAGACATCGATAATCAACCGTGAAGGCCAACATAAAGACATCAACCCTGCTACTTATTTCTGCTGACTCAGAATCCTTCTCAACACAGCACTCCAGGTAGCAGCTACCCAGAAGAGCTACTATTCTGGGGCCACAGCATCAGCATCCCAAGACGGTGAGTGGACTCAGACGGCACGCTGAACATCCTGTGCTTGGGAACTGAGGAATGTCCTATTCGGTGGCACCCGACTCCCCCAGTTCTAAGCCAGTGAAGTGAAGCTTGGGGGAAATGAAACGAGCCTTTGCTTGGCCTTTGGGAAGCCCCTTGCTGGGTTAGGCAGAGTTCCCGTGTCTCAAAAGCTGACAGAGACCTTCAGCGAGGACAGTGATGTCCTCTGGTCTGACCCCAGGTCCATTCTCCCTTTATGCCTGCTATACACACACCCTTCCCTAGACCCAAGAACCGCGAGCATGGCTGCAGTGAGCAGAAGAGTGGGAGATGCGGCGTCTCTCTACCATGACAACAACCTCCCAGCTCCAGCTGGCCGGCCCCTCACTGAGAACCCAGACAAGAGGGGGCCAGAAGAGCAGCCCCTTCACCGAAGGACTCTGATGAGACGCTACTAAGCAGCAAACTCCAGGGGGCACTGAGGTGAAGGCCCGGCGTGTGAGACTGATCTGCAGGCCACTTCTCCAGGCCGACTGCTGAGCAGGGAGGCCCCGGATTCCAGTAGCCTGGCGGGAACAGTCCGAGGAGAGCCAGTATAAACAAGCCCGTCATCCTCAACAAAACTCAACTGTGCTCCTCAGCTGCAGCACAGTCGGGAAGTCTCTCCCGCCCGCAGCTGCATCAGCCCCAGGTCGGCTGGCCTGCGGCTCAGGGAGCCAGCCCCTCTGACAGGGCAGGCGCCGTCACCACGGGGAAGGGCTGCAGCACTCCGACAACCTGGTCCCTCTCCATCAGCCTAGGAAAGCAGAGTCCTTGGTGCTTAGTACAGAGAGGGCCCTCGGCATTCACGAACTGCTTCAATCCTCCCAGCACACCAGGGAGTGGGTCATGGCGTCCCATTTTCCAGATGAGGACACTGAGACCCAGAGAGTTTAAGTGGCCTTTTTGGCTCCTGTCTGTACACTTTCTTCTAAACTTCACTGAGAGGCAAAAAAGTGCCAGCAGAGAAGGGGTGGGTGGCACTGCTTTGCAAGGGAGGGAGCTAAAGGGAGGCAGTGAACTCAAGGTGGGAGGGGAGTGGCCTCTCCTTGGCGCAGCCAGCCCTCGGCCTCTCCAAGGGCCCCTCCACCAGTGTTTCCCAAACCCCAATGTGCAAGTGATTCCCCTGGGGAGCCTGTTAAAGTGCCATTTAGCATCAGGTGGCCTGGGCTGGGCCCTGGGATTCTAGTAGTCAACAAGCTCCCAGGTGACACAGATGCCACGGGTCCCAGAACCATACTGAGTGGTGAGTGCTGGCCACGCACTGGGGTCGCCTGGTGAGCTTTTAGTGTGCTGCTTGTGTCTGCACCCCACTCCCGGAGACGCTGACTGAGCTGGTCTGAGATACAGCCAGGCAGGGGGGTTTGTACAGGCCCCCCCAGGGATTCTAAATGCGCAGCCAAGGTGGGAACCATCTGTAGGTACAGCTTCTCAAACTGTAATCGGTACAGGAGTCACCTGGAGATCTTGTTAAAATGCAGGTTCTGATTCCCGAATGTCCAGAGTGGGCCCGGATTCTGCATTTTCACAGGCTCCTTGCTGCCACTGCTGGTCTTCGGACTGCACTTGGAGCAGCGGGGCCTTAGTGAGCTGACCCCTCCCCGGCACTTCCCCAGCCCTCCCCAGCGCTGACCCCCCCTGCCCCCCTCCAAGTCAGCAGGTGCAGGCCCTACCTTGTTCAGGTGGCAGTGCAGGCCATTGTGGAGGATGGAATGGAAGTTTTCTAGGCGGCTCCCGTGGAAGGCATAGATTAGGTCTCGGTCTCCTTTGGTCTCATAAAATTTGGCATTTGCTGGGTCGGAGTACTCGATTTCAAACAGGAAGTCCGGCACCGGAACAGGAGTGTGAGGGGCGCCGGTCAGCTTTTGGATCTTTTCAAACTTGAAAACACGAAGGGAGGCGCAATTTTATTTGGGACGCTAGTGAAATATGTGCTGCCAACATGGCCTCCTAAGTCCAGTGGACTCTGCTCACGGAAACAACTGGTTTCATGAGAATAAAGACATCAATTTATAAATAAGCTCTGAGCTTATAGCTCAAGAGTGCCTTCCTCTAATAATGGTTTTACCCCTACAATAGGCCGAGAAGCCTGCATTGCTCCTTCTAATTAATGATCACTTCTAATTTTCATAACACTTTCACATCTAATTCCTGTATTCCATCTTTACAATACTCTCAGCAGGTAGAAAAGCATGATAAATTGCAAAAAAAATGGCCACGTTCTTTTTCTCCCACCCCTCCACAATGTGACTTTGCAGGTAGAATTCCACCAAGTTTCCATAAAGAGATGGAAACTATTTCTCTGCCCCTTGAATCTGGGCTCGGCCATGTGACTTGCCTTGGCCAATGGGACCTTAGTAAACATATGGCAAACAGACTTGAAAAGGACTTGCCCTTCTTGCCTGCTGCTGGAACCCCTTCACCCTTCACTGCTGTGTGAACAAGCCCTGCTGGCCTTTCAGTGGATGAGAGCCTCCGAGAGGAAGGCTCCAACCACTGCAGCCATCCCCGCTGAAGCTCCAGACATGTAAGGGAGGCTACCCTAGGTCATCCAGCCCCAGGAGTGCCAGTCCCACCCAGAAGAACCACCCGATTAATACACAGAATCATGAGGAACAATCAGTGTTATTTTAAGCCACTAGGTTTTGGGGATGGTTTGTTACACAGCAAAAGCTAATTGATACAGGAAGGTGAACTCCTTCCTGAGAGGCAATAATCTTTTTCAGGGCAGAGACCACATTATTTCAGTGATTTCCAAACAGTAAGTCACAGTCTACTGGTGAGTCCCAGTTTTTTCTGGGTTGTGATCAAATAAGAAAAATTAAGGCACCCTGGCTGGTGTAGCTCAATGGATTGAGCACAGGCCTTCGAACAAAAGGGTCACCGGTTCGATTCCCAGTCAGGGCACATGCCTGGGATGCAGGCCAGATCCCCAGTAGGGGGAGCTTAAAAGGCAACCTCACACTGATGTTTCTCTCCCTCTCTCCCTTCCCTTTTCTAAAACTAAATAAATAAAATCTTTTAAAAAAGAAAAGAGAAAGGAAAATCAGGGCAATGTAACAGAAATAGTTATACTACTTTCAGGTTGCCATGATCCTCTCTTTGGAAGGACTGTTCCATATTCTGAGGTCAGGGCCATCCTCCTTTTTTTGTGTTAAAACATCCTTTTATAAGATGATGATTCACGGCAGGTTAACGTCTTTCCATGGGCACAATAAAAAGCTGATAACCCTGGGTGGCAACAATCCATATTTTTATGGAAGTTAACTGGTCCATAATCAAAAGCCAAGGAGCCACTGCGTGAGCAACTTTACCTGCAGCAACAGCTAGGAGGTGCCTGATGCCCACATGAGGAACGAATAAACCCTGACTTAACAGACGACAGAGCTGAAACCCAGAGACCACATGAGAGTTAACGGCCCAGCCTGGACCTGAATGTGGATCTCCCGACGTGCCCACTCCAGGGTTCCCTGTGTCACTTCGCCATCCGACACAGATGGGTGTCCCTGGACACCAGAATTCAGGACATCATATTCTTTGCCATTTAAAGAGGATTTCTGTCTTTAGCAGAAGCTTGTAACACTGACTGCTCTTAAATTAAAATTGACTAATTACGTGAAGAACAGTGGAGGTGAACCTCTGCTGCCTCTCAGAGGAAGGAGCACCAGACTGAGGATCTGCCATCCCACACTCTGGCCCTTGTCATCCCAGCCTGTCCCTGGGAGATGCAGCCAGGCCAGGGACACCGAATTATGGAATGTCTGGTCTATGCCAAAAACTATCCTGGGAGTGACATACATTCTATTATAGCTCCCCTCTGAGGTAACTGTTACTATTCTCAACCGGGAAAAGGAGATCTGCTTACGGATGGGAGTGGAATTTGAACCCAGAGCCTGGACTTTTCCATTGCTTCAGGCTCTGCCTCTGTTTCCTAACAATTGGATTGGGCCAATGTTTCTTAAGGTGCAGTCAAGGGTCTGTCCTTATCAGAATTATCTGTGGTGTTTGCGACATCCAGCATCTACTGAGCCCCTCAGTACCTGCCCTTAGATGTTGTTCTAAGTGTGAAAATTCATTCATTCAATTCAATTTTCACTGCCATTTTCCTGATGGAAGTGTGCTATTCATATCCCCATTTTATAGATGAGGAAACTGAGGTACTGAAATGCACCAAGAAACCTACTCAAGGTCACACAGCTATTTGGAGAGAGCTTTGTGCTGCCAGTGCGCAAGTTCCCGGGCCCCACTTCCGACACAGATTCAGAATTTCTGGGGGCCAGGCCCAGGAGTCTGCACTGGCAACAAGCTCCCCCAGTCCTTTGGTGCACAAGGAGGTCCCTAGGATCACAGGTTCCTAGGGACCAAAGCCTCACCTCTGACTTCCCTGCACTGTGGACTGTCAGGACCTTTGAGGATAAAATCCAGTTCAGCAGGTCCCAGGCCCACTTGTCTTTGTCTTCGGAGGACTGGAGGAGTTCTTTCAGGTTGGGTAACTTGCTGGCATCTGCAAGCTGAAGTGAGGAAAATCTCTATTAGCAAGGATCCTAGACAAAATGAGAAGCAGGGGCCCTCTAGTGGTATGGCAGACGACCTGCACCACTTTTGTGTTAGGAATTTCCTAAGAGGAGGAAAATGCACAGGTCTACCATCGCCTTTCCAAGTAACACCCAACCCCCAAAGCTCTGAACACTGAAAGGTTGTTTTGTAACTCCTTCAGTACAAAACCTGCCCTGAGCTGACGTGAGGTCCATTTAATCTTTACTTATCCCATTTCATGTTATATTTTGCTGCAGGAATATTAATTCTGATTATGGGATGCAACCTCACTGGAGGTGTTAGCAAATACATGATATATACACATGGGTGGGTAAAGGGCCCGCAAAGTATGAGAAAATAAGCTTTGGTTAACCTCCTGTCAACCTGTCACCCTGAAGGCCAGAGAAAGGTAGTATGACTACATGAGAGGACTGTCCAGACTAAGTCCAGTCATTGCTGATGGAACGAGAACGGTTTGCGCCACAACCACGTGACCTGGCAGCCAAGGAGAGTGGACTGGAATGCGCGTGTGTGAACAATGACGACTTCACTGTACTGGCCAGTGGGGGTGGAGGATGTCGATGAGTGAGCATGAGTACTGTGTGGCTGTCGCATTCAAAATGACTGAGCAGGCAGAGCAATGAATCTCCATCAAATTTTGCATTAAGCTTGAATATTCCTCCACAGAAACTATTTGGACGATTCAGAAGGCCACAGCTAGGGGCAGTTGGTGATTGGCAGCTTCATCACGACGATACACCCACTCAGGCATCACATCTACTGCAGTTTTTTTGATGAAACATCAAATTACTCAGGTGATTCAATCCCCTTCAGCCCAGGTTTGGTGCCCTGTGACTTCTGGCTTTTCCCAAAACATTTAAAATTGCCTTTGAAAGGAAGAGATATCAGACCATCGATGAGATTCAGGAAAATAGTACAGGGCAGCTGATAATGATTGGAATTGTGTGAGGTCCCAAGGTGCCTATTTTGAAGGGGGCTAAGGCATCATTGGCCTATATACAATGATTCTTGTATCTTTTAACTTCAAGAAATATTTCTGTTTTCCATAGTGCATGGCTGCACACCTTCTGGACAGACCACATGCACACCGGGCAATAGTGCTCACGGTAAAAATGACCCAGAGTGGCAGGCTGCGCCTGCACTGGGAGGAACTACGAGTGGGGACTCCAGGGTGTGGGGTTTCCCTGAGTGTGGTGACTTTCTGTGCGGGCCCCGGCAGCTGTGTCCACGGCGCTCTCGTGAGAGAGACCAGCCTCTGCAAACATGGGGCCTCATGGAGCCAGAGAAGCTCCTACACCCAGCCAACATGAATCCCTTCTCCTCCCACGAGCTGTCACCCTCGGGGGCAGGCTGGACCTCTGTGTGGCCTGCTGCAAGGACTTCCACAGAAACAGAACACCCTGCTGAAAGCTGTGACCCGTCCTAGGGCCTTCTGATTCAGGCTGGTGCCCGTGTGGCCCTTAGAAGATATCGGTTTAGTTGTGACTTTACACCACATTGCTACCTTTGGAAAATCCAGCAGAAGCTGAATTCCAAACACAGTTGTCAGAAGCTGAATTCCAAAACACAGTCGGGGCCGGGTTTTTCGATGAGGGACTAGGCATACGCACTAACATAGCTACAAAGTAACTAGCTTTTACTCAGAAACCATGACCAGAAGCCAGCTCTCTCTAGAGTGGCATTTAAAAACACCACTGCAGACTGGAGCCATCTGTGAACGTGCCTTGGGTTGTACCACCTCCAAACCTTGTTCACTCTGGACGCCCTTGTAACACCCTGGATGCCTTTCCCCCACTTCTGCCAACCCAGGCACCTTTCTGTAAACCCTGAAGGCACTCAGCCCCTGCACTCTCTCCCCAGTACAGCCAGGATTCCCAGAGGCCAGGGACAGTCTTGTATTTTTCTAGTTCTCCTCTTTCCTGGATGTGGGGAGGGGGAAAGTGACTTGTCTCAGTTAATCCAGCTCCTTAAGCAAAGCCCTGGACCTGGCAGAGCCTCGATCTCCTCTCGAACATGGGAAGCCCACTATCTCCACGTCAGGTTGTTGGGAAGATTAAAGTAACAGAATCCCATTGCCTGGTCTCTACATGTTCATTTCTTTCCCTTATTTATATTTCTCGCTGACAACACTCCCACATGCTTTCACTGCAGACGTAGTTGGTCATTCATGGGTATCAGTGGTTTTCCCCCAGTGTTTTACACCACGGATGCTGACCTTGGGGGTTTTACTTCTAAACTCTGTAGTTGAAAACTGAAAACATTTCAGGGCTGCTTTATTCCTGTCTCTGTTCCAAAGAATCAATCAACAGCTCAGACTCCTGATAAAACTATCTGTACATTCCTTGTGGAACAAGAGCTTAAAAAAACCCCACCACGGGGAGGGGTGTGTGCAAATGCTCCATGAGTGTTGGTGCTGCAAGTGGACAGTCAGAAACGTCAATAATTGTGACTTAAACCTTCACTGTCATAACAAAGATGAATACAAACTGCTAAGGAGACCTAGTGGGACTTGTGCCGGGTAGAGGCTGGGGGACAGGGGGGCGGTCAGGAAAGGCTTTGTCGTGGGACCCGGTTTGATACTCGAAGACGGGGAAGCACGGGAGTGCAGTGTGTGGTTGGGGCAGCGGATGGGGGCCGCTTATTAGTGAAGGCTGTCCTCCCGGGCAGGCGGGGTCCAAGCCTGGGCTCTCGTACCTGCTTCTGGCTCTGTGACCTGAGTGAGTTGTTTTGACTTTCTGCGTCTTGGTTTCCACAAATACATAATGGGATAACAGGAGTAGCCACTTCACAGGATCTCTGAGCAGGTTAATCAAGTTAAACAAGCGCAGTGCTTACAGCCACAGAAAGGCATGAAGTAGGCACTCCAGTGTTGGTGGGACTGCTGTGGGTGTTGTCAGCACTGACTGCAGGTGGTTTGGTGTCACTGGAGCCCAGAGTGTGGGGGAGGGGTCGCCAGGAGGCACAGCAGTGAGAAGGCGATGAGATCAGCCTGGTAAGGCCTTGGATTCCCCCCTTGGGGTCTCTGAGCTTTGTTCTGTGCAATACAGAGCCACTGAGGGTACCTGAAGATGTGTTCCAAATGGTGCACCCTCAGGTCGCCACCCAGATGGCCTGCTGCCTACCCAGTCCAAAGGACATCCTGGGACGTCCCCTGCCCTGCTTTTCCACTCCTGGCCCACATTTGTTATCCCAAAGCCAGAGCTGAGTCTTCTCTCCCACAGTTACCATCCCCACCGCTGTTCTCAGGTCCCGCCTGCGAGCCGCAGCCCTTGCCAACAGTCCAGACCTGGGCACAGGAAGCCCCACAACGTGACAGTCAGCTAAGCCAGGTTCTTTCAGGAGCTCCATCTGGGGAAGTGGCAGAGACTGCCCCCAGCTCCGAGCTTGACCCAGGCCTCACTTGAGCTCCCTTGGGGATGGCCCTCTTCCAGGGCTCAGGCCCTCCCACTGCCGCCCACCCGCCCACCGGCCACCTGGGTATGCCCTGCAGGCTGCCCTCTCTGCTCCCCATTCTTTAACTCCTCCACGGTGCTTCCATAGGTCCTACTTCGCTTTTCAGGCTACTCTGAAAAATAAATCTGCTCCAACAAGTTAACAGGACTCTTCCTCTTGGAACCAAAACCTGTCTGCAGGGCCTTTTGGAGACCAAGCACGCAAGCAGGGCTGTCTGATAAAATAGTTTGCCCAGTTAAATTTGAGTGTCAGATAAATAACAAAACTGTTAGTATAAGTATAACCATGCAATAATTGGGGCATACTTACATTTTAAAAATTGTTGTTTCTCTGAAATTCAAATTTAAACAGGTGGCCTACATTTTTCTTTGCTAAATGTAGCCACCCTGTCCTTCACAAGGCCCTCAGGAATCTGCTCTGGCCTCTCTGCCTAACAGCACCCTCTGCAACACTCTTCTCACCTGCTCCCAGCATGCCAGTCCTCAAGTGCCCTCTGTCTAAAGTCACCTGCCCTGCCCCTGCCTGCCCACGCCTTCTGGGCTCCCCGGTGCCCCATGCAGAGTCCGAGGTTGGCACTGACTCTCTGTGGCCGCCCCAACTCTGGCGGGAACAAAGGCTTCCTGAGGGCCAGCCCCACCTGATGAATCCTGCAGCCCCTGCAGCCGGCCTAGAGCTTGGCAAGGAGATCAGAACAAGATAGTGAAAGCTACTATTTATTGAGCCTTGTCACGTGCCACGTGCTGGGCTGAGTGCTACGCATGCATCAGCCATTGTATCCGCATAACCACCATTGGGAAGGGGAGGAAACTGAGGCTTGGAGAGGCTTGGGGCACCTCGCCTAGGGTCCTGCAGCTCTTCAATAGCAGGACCGTGAAGCCAGACAGCCTGACTCTGAGGTCCGATCTCTGTGACTCTCTCCTATCAATGGAGACACTTATAATGGACTAAATATCTTAGCCCAAGGGGGCAACTCCATAAGGACTTTAAAAGGCTGCTTGGGAAACCAATCAGGAAGGTTTCTGGTGTCTCCCCCCCCACCCCACCCCCAAATAATACAACCAAGACAGCTACCAGCTGTGCTGAGGCCCTGTAGGAAGTAGGGAGAAAGACGCATGTCATGTGCAGTAGAAGCGGGGCGAGGAGACAAGTGTTACAACCTGTCGTTCACGGTGGTGGAAGGTTATTGAACTGGACTGAGGAGAACACATGTTCAGGAGGGCAGGCATTTCTGGGGGATGAGGGAGAAGGCAGAGGGAAGGGTTTATGGAGCAGGCAGGATGAGAATGGGCCCTGGAGGATTTTGAGTCAGAGCATTCCCAGAGGGAAGGAGCTTAGCAGAGAGGCGGTTAAGTGAACAGAGCCCAAAACGTGGTCCCAGGCTCAAATGCCCCCAGAGCCAGAGAGGTGATGAATATGAGTAAGGGGGGACTCAAGGAAAGAGTGGTGAGGGCTGTTGAACAGAGGCCCCTGGGCTAGCAAAGGGCCCAGCCCCCAGCCCCCA